TTTTGCAGCCAGAGCAAATGGATCCAGGATATCATGGCGTTGGAGGCCCACTTTCAGTTTCTCACTTTCCTTACCATCCACCACTCTCTCTAGCTATCTTAAAGGCTGCGCAAGAAATGGGTAAATGAAATTTATTGAAATGTAAAAAATCAGCATACTAGTTTTGTTTAAATGTAAAAAATGATTCCATTGTCTCTAAATAATTTATTATTATCAGTTTCAAAAATAATTGTTCCAATCGATCACTAACGACTCCTAACAAAGATTCAAACAATAACAACGACTCTTGATAATGTTGTCCAAAAAATGATGTCCCTTATCGGTTCATTCAGAACAAGAATTAGCGATTTATGAAATCATGTATAAATATCTAACTATTTCCTTAATCCAGGTTATGTAGCTCGTGATTTGAATGTGTGAAATCCACGAAGGATTCATGATCGCCCAATCAACATCAAGAAATGGAAGCAGAATGAGTGCAGGACGCGCCTTCCTGCGTCCAGCAAAGGACAGACCAAATCTACACATCATGCTCAACACCACTGTCAGCAGAGTGTTGGTACACCCTAGAAGCAAAATCGCTTATGGAGTTGAATTTATAGATCCACAGGTAAATGATTCTACCAGAATAACAAAAACCGGGACAAAAATTTGATAGATTAGAGAAGAAATAAAAATTTAATCACAAGACCAGCAAGTTGGGAGAATAACTAGATTTAAGACCTTAGAGCAATTTTGAACAAGTTTTTCATAACGGGATACTAATTCATCATAAGGCTGACTAAGTAAAACTCCAATTCAAAACTGTTTTCAGAAATTTAAAAAAAAGAAACTAAATGACTCGTCCAAAAATCATTTTCAAGCGGTAGATCAATGACGAGGTTTCCAATTCAATGGAAGGATAAACTCTACTAGTAATGTTTAGCATTTCTTTTGCCATTCGTATCCAATTATTAAAAATCAATCACCTTCCATTTACCACTCATCATTTACTATTATTTTTTATTTCAGGGTTACAGACGCCAAGTGTTAACTCGCAAAGAAGTAATTGTCTGCGGAGGTGCCGTCAGTTCTCCTCATATTCTACTTCTAAGTGGTATAGGTCCAGCTGGTCACCTTCATTCTGTAGGTGTTCCAGTCACAGTAGATTTGCCAGGTGTAGGTGAAAACTGCACAACCATGTCACCTATTTCACAAAATACTTCATCAATGACACCGATAGTGCTCCTTTGAATTGGGCAACTGCCATGGAGTATCTCTTGTTTAGAGATGGATTGATGTCTGGAACTGGTGAGTAGATCAAAGTCGATATGTCTGATACAGGAATAAAATTAATAATATATTTTTATACGATGTTATTGATTTTTAAATTTAAATCATTATTTGTTTCTAGGTATATCCGAAGTAACTGGTATGATCAAAACAAAATTCGCAAACCATTCAATTGATCATCCTGATGTCCAAATGTACTTTGCTGGTTTCTTGGCCGATTGTGCAAAAACTGGTCAAGTTGGTGAAAAATTAAGTGATGGTAGAAGGACTGTAAATATATTCCTTCAGTTTTACATCCAGAAAGTAGAGGACGAGTGAGACTTGGATCCCAGATCCTAAAGCTCCTCCAAAGATTTTGCAAACTACTTTGCCGTAGAGAAAGATCTTAAGACGCTTATAGAAGGTAACATTTGTACAGTAATTGATGACATATTTCATTAGATATATACTGTTATTTAATAAATTTAGTATTCCATTATTCCAACCAAGCTTTTTTTTCAAAATTTATATGGCCTACCCTTATCCACAGGAATCAAATTTGGTCACAGAATGACCCAAACCGATGCCCTGAGACCTTACGGTTTCCAAATCGACGAGACACCTGTGAAGGGTTGCGAAAAATTGCCTTTTGGGTGCGATGAATATTGGGAGTGCGCCGTCATGAGAAACACAGGACCCGAGAACCATCAAGCAGGTTCTTGCAAAATGGGTCCCGCTTCGGACCCCTTAGCGGTCGTCGACCACGAATTAAAGGTAATAGAGTAGTTACATAAAAAACATTAAGTCAAAGGCATGTAATTAATAATAGGTTAAGAAAAAATAAATTTTTTTTGGTAGATGGCTCGTTGGTACTATATTTGGTAGTAGTAACTGCTCGTTGGAAAGGTGACATTTTGTAGTAGAAAAATAATTTGCTGTTTTTTCTTTGGTGCATTCAGTAGTAAGTTACAGAGCGTTAAAAATAGAAGTGAACAAATAAAAAACTCTGTACATTTATTTTTTTTGACAAAGGCGAAAATGCAAGGCAGGCAGCTAAAATTGTGAATGGTGTTTATGGTTCCGATACTGTAATAATCAATTGTGTGCAATTTTGGTTTTGTAGATTCCGTTCAAGATTTTTTTGATGTTAAATATACACCTCGCACAGGTAGGCCGGTCGTCTAAAATGTCGATAAAATCGGAGAAATGATCAAAGTTGACCGGCATGTTAGAAGTCGTAACATCGCCCTGGAGATAAAAATTGACCATAAAACAGTTTTAAACCAATAAACCCAAAAATAATGGATTTTATTGCCTCTATTTAATATATTGTTTTATTTATTATCTTAGGTTCACGGAGTACGAGGACTGAGGGTTGCCGACGCCAGCATAATGCCAAGTGTTACATCAGGCAACACGAACGCTCCAGTTTTCATGATCGGTGAAAAAGCTGCGCACATGATACGTTTGGAATGGGGAGGAATGTAATTTTAAATAATAATTTAAATTCACAAATTGCAGTCTAACCTCAATTGGAAAACACAAAATTAATAAGTTTCTATATTTGATCAACGAAAATCATAGAAAGAACATATTTTGATTACGAATACCTATTGATGGAAACCTTTATATGACAATATGCAAAATTAATTTAACCATTTCCACTCGCGAATTGCGAGATTTATATGTATTTTGGTGTCGGAGCGGCGGCATCCGAGTGGAAAGGGTTAAAGTACGATTTTAATTTCTGAAAAGTA